TTTGTTTCCTTTCTTGAAATTGTGTTTAATCACCCATGCATGAAATATGCATCGTATGAGTTGCGTCAAATGAAAGGGGAGGATCTAAGCTTTACAAATAGTTATTATAATTGTGATTAATATATGATAAAACATCGATAATTCTCTGTTTCCTTTTTTTCTGGGACGCACTGTATAATGAGAGAGAGAGGTGAAACGCCTATCATCCAGGTGACAATATAACATTCCTGCGCTCCTTCTTATAAAGAGTTGCGTTTGATCCAAATCAATCGCAAGTCCTCCAATCAATAGCAAGTTTTCAGTCTCCTGAACCTTATGTACATAGTTGCGATTGATAGCAATTGAAAATAAGTTGCGATTAATATAAACTCTTTATAAGACAGGGCCCTGGCTAATATAAAAGAAAAGCGTTATAGCATTAGATACATGTTCAGGCTGTGAAACTATTTTTGCATGCCATTACCAAACTTCATTCTTGTACCATTTCGGGTCGAGTTCCTTTAAAATGCAGCTGCTCTATCATAAATGCGTTAGGAGTGTAAAGATAACAACTCCAAACAGCAAACATCATCTTGTATTGAAAAACAATGAGATTTCGGTATTTTCCCTTCATATTAGACCTAGGTAGGCTATTCACTTTACACTGCCATTCAGGGGTGGTGTACCATGTCGACATCCTGGCTCAGTTAAAAGCCAAGTCTACTCCAAAAATGAATTGCTTTCAATAGAAGCAGAAAATAAGACAAACCAATCAAAAGAAGTTAGAGCAAAATCGGATAACTAATAAGAAAGTTATGAATTTTTAATGACATGAAAATCGCAAGACAAACTGGCAACTCACTCATGAGTCTGTGACGTCATCGCATCACTGTTATTGTCCTGTCGTGTGTAATTCTACTGTATTCATGTTCGTGTGTACATTGACTATATAGTCAACAATGATGTGTAATCGTCCATGACCTAGCATCGTTTATCCATTCATGAATGAACCTGCATTCAATCAGCAGATGCATGAGATTTATTGTATTATTACCAAAGCTCCTTCTCTCCCCTTTCCTTCTCTGCAAGTCACTCTTTTTATTTGTATTGTTTTATCTAAGTTGAGGACTGCAGGCATGTCAAGCTACTTTGCTTCTTTATGTAGCCCTAGCTCCTGCATCTAATGTATGTTAATTATGCATTCAATATATTTGTTTAATTTCGTTTATTATCTGTATAAAATTATATACACTTGAAATATTGTATCAAACCATATTATGTTCATGAAAGAGATGAAAAAGAGACGCAGAAACCAATAAATCAAATCAAATCAAATCAAATCAAATCCACTATTTGTTTTATTTATATACTGATAATATTTCAATAAGCCAAGCTTAAGATTTTTTCGTCATTCCACAGCCAATATTTCAAGAGGCAACACCCCCCCCCCCCCCCCACAATTACTCCATTTGTGCCAATGTTTACGGGTTATTGCAGGATAAAAACAGTGCCATTTTCACACTGAACTTCCCACTTTTGAATGTCTTAACTCTTGAAATTAAGGAACGCGTGAAGACACGTAATATATGATATTTCAAAGTTATATTATGGAAATACTTGATTAAGTAAAGTAAATTTGCCCGTAGTTTCGGACCTTTTACTTTCATGGGAATCACATGTGGACCGCCAAGGAGAAAGCTTGAGAACCCCTGATCTACCCTATTCTCTAGATGTCATAGAAATCGTGTTCGTTTTACGTAATACGTCGTTTTAATGATCGCAAACTGCAATAGGTGATGAAGCGCAAGGCTTTTGAAGTTGCCTTATATCGTATTTTTCGAAAGTGTTTGCAAGCGTTATAATATGGTAAATATACTCTTGGATCTAGAAAAATATTGCACGTTTTATTACAGAACCTCGATACACATGGACATTTAATCAAACAACACTATTTTCTGTGACAGAAATGTAAAAATACATGTTTATAGAAAACTGTGTAGCGTTTTGTCTAGCCTATAAAACTATATTTTTCAGCCGTTTCTCTAAAACTGCATTTCAGTTTTAAGTAGATAACAAAATGCAGTGCATTTTCAAGACAGAAAGAAAGTCATGAAACCTACATTGGATTCAACACTTCTTTCTTCTTGTTCTTCGCCTTTCTTAGTCAATTTACATCGTAACTTATCCTTCGGCTAAGATTCAATCAAATCGATCAATAATTTTGAATTGCAAAATAGGTTTTGCGTGCAACTTTACAATTGTCATATTTTATCATTTTGAGATTGATGATTTTGTGCCAATTAAAACGCTTAGGTTTCCACTTATAATGATAAATACTATCTGACCGTTGATACATGTGTATCAATTAGATTCAGCAATTAAACTTTATACATCAAACAACAACAATTTAAAATGATATGTTTTCGTTATCACTCTTATTTTCATAAACACTTTTACCATATTTCATGCTTCAAATATGTGATGAAATAACATATTATACGGGATACAACACTAAGGCCACGAGTACAAGAATAGAACAAGAGGGATACACAGCGGTTTTAACATGTATGATTTACTTCATGAGGAAAAAGCTATAGGCCTAACGATAGCTATAACACTGAAATACAAATGTACTAAAAAAGTAACTTTGTTCAAACATTATAATGCACAGTAAATGGTCCTTCAGATATGTGGAAGGGGTAAGAGGGCGTTTTTAATGACATAAAATGTAATACACTGTACATTTCTATTTCTTATTGTTAAACACAGAGCTTAGTGAATAAGGAAAAGTCCTTCGTTGCGCACAATTGCCAATAGGGACTTTTAGATTTGCGTGGACTGATACGTGTGACGTCCATTCAAGGCAGTGCATTACAAGTACGTCGATCGTAGCAATCCACGTTGTCGTTCGATAATTCTAAAAGTCCCTATTCATTTGTATCTGTCACTTTATTATGTCAACATGTAAACATGAATAATCCAGCTTCTGCTGCTTTTCATGTAAAATGACAATTATGATGCATGTATTTTGAAATTACATGATAAACCATTATTGAATTGAAATGAATTGAATTGAATTGAAGAAATTGTTCATCCCTCATCCTTAATTATATTGAATGAACATTATAGATCAAAGCCTTCCCCTCCCCCTCCCCCTCCCCCTCCCCCTTCTCCCGACAAACAACAAACAAACAAAACAGACAAACAGAAAGAAGAGAAGAGAAGAGAAGAGAAGAGGGCTGTCTTTAGCGGCAGAGAAGCGGCCAAATCCACACGATTGCGAACCCGGCTGACCCCTCCACTCCCCATCCATTGTATGTTTTCATTTCATGCTGATCTGTGATACTTTCGAATGTTTCAATTGTTATAGTGTTGTGTCAATGTATTGCGCTCAGTAGCAATCTTTCTTTATTATTGCTCACTTTTAATCAACTTTTCTCCTTTTTCTTCAATACTTGGAAGCTTCCTTTTCTCCCTATTTATTTGATTAATAAAACAATTAAGCACCAAAGCCTCTCAAGGGATGTATTGGAAGGAAAAGTGGAAGGAAGTAGACCTAGAGGGAGACCCAGAATCAACTGGGAAACGAATGTCAAGAACTGGAGTGGACTAAAATTGCAAGAGTGTACCAGAATGGCAGAAGATAGAGTGAAATGGAGAGATGTTGCAATCAACCTCCGAACCGGGAGAAGATACTAAGATAGATAGATAGATTTAATTATTTGCCTATTTTCAGTTATCTAGTCCAATGTGAACTTCCTTCCAAATCATGTCTTTAAGAATTTATATTGGCATCATCAGTATCGTTACACGGAACATATCTATGATATTCGCCATCACTTTCATCACCACTACCACCAGCTTCACCATCCTCCTCCTCCTCCTCCTCCTCCTCCTCCGCCTTCTCCTCCTCCTCATCATCAATCATCACAATTATCACTTCTACATATTACCACCACCAACATCAACATCACCATCAACATCACCATCATCGATACTGCCACCGATATTTCTGTTTTTGTCTCTATCAGCAACACCACCTCCATCCTTATAGCCATTAATAACAACCACTTCTACCGTCTTCACAATTAGTCCTCACCCTTTTCAGCACCAACTTCACAATATCTCGTAAATTCTTCTCTATGGAAACAATACCATTAACAATTTATCATTGTATTGATATTTATTAGTTTGCCATGAACAAAAGTGAAAATGGATAAACATAACATTAAAAAAGCAATCAAAACATATTATTCTTTAACTTGTCGTGGTGTCCAGTGTTCAAGACCTTTGCATTATGTCTTTCCTTTCTCTAGCTGTGATACCGGAACACTGTCGCAACTGTTTTCTAAAAATAAACTCACGGGAAATTTCATTGCCCTATTGTATGTCCCATAGGAATAATGTTTGATTACGTCACAGTTCATTATCATGTTCGCATATTTCAATATGTGACGCATAAGGATATTGGAATTGCCTTCGGTTGTTTTTCGAAAGCAGTTGCTATCGAGTTCTGGGGGGTGTTTCACAAAGATCCTAAGTTCAACTTATCTCTAAGTTGGACTTAAAAAATATGGAAAGCCATTAGCATCTTTGAAAATATTTTGTAAAAGTTATTTTGCAAGGCATTCATTGTTTATTGAAATCATTCATATTTTCTATCATCAAGGAGATTTCATGTTCTGGATGTGGAATTAATAAAAAGTCTAAAATACTTGAATTTCTGCTTTTGAATATATTTCATTTAAAGACTCCAATGGCTGTCCATAATTTTTAAGTCCAACTTAGAGTTAAGTTCTACTTAGGATCTTTGTGAAACACCCCCTAATAATATCAGAACCATAAGGCATATCATTTGCACCGTTGAATTTCACATAATTGGACGACGATATTGATGGTCACTGGTCTGAATATAACAAAATATATAAATTGATCAGAAAATTTGTGGAGATGCTGATATCGGTATCATATTTTTGAAAAATACCATTGAATTTAATGGGAAAAGATCATGAAGAAAAATGTATAAATCACATTAATCATATCCAGAAGAAATTGGTTGTATCCAAATCACTTTTAACACTTTATCTTGGCAAAGTTTGACTAAAATAAATAGATCCTCTTATTTTATTCTCAACTCAATTTCACTAAAACGTAATGGCCGTGATAAACACTTACTTTATGAGTCGATCACGAAGACTTTCGAGAAATCAACTCAGGGGGGGATATCAGGCCCTTATTGCGCATCCTAAAGAAATTACTTTGATAGGTGAATGGGGAAAGGAATCGACAGTGCCTTAGGTTGATTTTTGTTCTTCAAATTCAGGTCTTCGTGATTGATCCCCCCCCCCCCATATTCAATCAAGGAATAAAGAGAAAACACTTAATACTAATGTGGCGAATAAATTATGTACATAAATTATATACAATGCAGGTGGATTTTGTCTTCCTTTTCTAAAATTTGGATTACAAAGAAGGTCTCATCAACATGGCGCAGAGCGAATTAAGTACGGTTATATCGGATCCAGAAACAAAAGATAGGCTATATAGATTTCGAGATGCAATGAAATAAGTCTCAATGTCTATCAAGGCGAGTGAATAATATCACAGTACGGTTGATATTTATGTAATGTTTATCCTTTTTACAGGTTTATGTATAATTGAAAAAAGAGAGTATTTGACAGATGGAAGTATCTATAAATGCATGATCCGAAACATAATGTTCATGCACACTCAGATTTATAAATCAGTCATGTAGATACGATCAAATCTAGCCTAAAGATTCATCATATAAAATTGATGATGTAGTATTAAACGCAGAGTGTACAAACTTAGACACGCTCGCATTTTTACGGTTTAATTTTCCTCGTGCATTTCTCGGCAACTTTGGGAGGAATCTTCTGCGTAAAATATATCAGCCGCTTTTACACTCCAAAAACTATTTAAATCAACATTTAAAAGACCCGAGCAACGAAAACATTAAAATGGTAGGTTAACACGGTAAATGTGATTGATTCAACACTGAGGGGTGAATTGGTTTGGTTTACTTAGGGTGGTTACTTTTTGTTTGTTGTACCTGATTGCTAAGAAAACATGTGTATGCTTTTAAAAAAAGTAGTTAACCAGGGGACCGACAGCGACTCGGTAATGTGGATTAACGCCTTACCAAAGGGAATTAGCGCATCGACTTGGTTTCGAACCCGGCACCCGAATTCCGGTCTCGAGACCACTACTTTACCGATGAGCCATCTCGCCTCCTCAAAAATGTTGAGTCCAGGATAATGGAGCATGTTAAAAGTGTTAATCTACCATAATATGAAGAAAAAAAATTCACCCCTCGAACCTCTCTAATTTCCCTTCTTAAAAACCAGTGACCCTCCATTTTCATCAGTGCCCCTGTAATCCTACACAAGCCGATGTCGTTTACGTTGGTCGATGGAATTTATGGTGTTGCTCTTGCTCCCAATCGACCACGTCGTCCCTTCCGCCTCCGATTAATCCGTCGTCGTCGTCGAGATGGTGGTGTCGTGGCTCCGAGAGTCGCTTCTTCATCAGGAACGCCTTGGAAGGCGAGCAGACGAGGCACGGCCTCGCTATCCGATCTGCTTGGTAGGTTGAAGGGCTGGAGTTCGTCCAGAGAGATGCGGTTGTCACCTGTAGGATTGAAAGATAATCAAAATAAATAACAATGGATCAAAAGCTTTACAAAAATTGCTTATTGTCGCCCCTGACTATTAAATGTTGAGTCTGCTTGCTCAATATATAGGCGAATTTGTAATATAATTATAGGGAATATATAAATGACTCGATCGACTTAACTGGTTTTACCTACATATAGATTCTGAACCAAAGCAGCCAATAGCAACAACAACAATAACAACGTCAACAACAACAACTGCTCACTCAAAATGTCCATATCAATATGGCAGCATGGATATGGTGGAAACGGCTTGTAAACTCGTATTTAGTATATTGTTGTAGTTAATTAGAAAATCTTAATCACCATTATAAATGTATAAAAGTACATGTATATATGCAAAATGTAAAGATCGCTATCATCAACCGCCACGCAGACGGACCTGACATGCCCATAAGTCCCCCGGCTCTACCCTCCTCGATCTCTTCTTCTCTACCTGGGACTGATAAGTAATTAGCCTGCCTGGTGCTATGCTCCTTATTTCCTTATTTCCATGCAACATTCAGAAAGCATAATATATTTTGCAAACATTATATTGTTTCTATTTATTATGGAAATGAATTATCCCGAATCACAGCAATTAGAGACATAAAAGAATATTTCTGAAAAAAAGTTAAATTGAATACGTAAATGAAAGGTGAACCTACTTAATAGCTAGGCAATGTGGCGTGTGGGTTTCACAGAATTAAACTATTGACTTAATGCACAGAAAGAAAAGAAAAACATACACTAAACTGAGACACACAAAAAATGAATCATAATACAAAATGTTACGGATCAGAGTGGAAGATAAAAAAATATATAGAGAGAGAGAGGAGGGGGTGGAGAGAAAGAAAAAATGATATATATATTCATATTATATTATACATGATATGGGAAGACGGAGAGAGAGATAGAGGTGGAGAGGGAGAGAGAGAGAAGGAGAGAGATGAGAAAATAAAGCGAGAGAGAAAATAAGTAGTAGAGTGTAAGACTGGACTCGTAACTTCCCTATTTATAATTAGCCTAATAATCGTCTTTGTACTACATCTTACCATTCTTCCTCCGCAACTCTAAATTCTATTTAATACATAATTTATACAGAGTCTATACCATGCAAATGTGTATTTTGGTTAGAAGAAAGAATTGGTCAACCTTAAATCTCGGAAAATGCCTCGATCCCTATACTTGGCAATATTATCATTATTATCATCATCATCACCACCACCACAACCATCTTGATCAAGGCATCATCACAGTCATCTTTTTTTGTTGTAATCAACATCATCAGTTCATCACCATTTTAATTGTTACTACCATTATCATTTACATCACCAGCAGCATCATCTTCATAATCATCTTCCACACCACCACCACCACCACCACCACCACACCACCATCATAATCCACATCACCACCACCACCGCCATCATCATCGCCATCCACATCACCACCACCACCACCATCATCATCACAATCCACATCACCACCACCACCACCACCACCACCACCACCATCATCATCATCCACATCACCACCACCACCCCACCATCATCATAATCCACATCACCACCACCACCACCACCATCATCATCCACATCACCACCACCACCACCATCATCATCGTCATCCACATCACCACCACCACTATCATCATCATCGTCATCACGTCTTACCGTCTGTGTCGAGGCGAATAAGCAGATTATTTAATTCTGTCAAGGCTCCGTCTGCCGCAACCCACTCGTCCAGCGTCACAAGACCGTTACCGTCAAGATCAATGCTTGCAAATGCTAATTCCTTGGTTATATTTCCAGCGAAGTACCTCAAAATGTCGATAGGGACTCTATACAGACAGCAAATGAAACGTAAGGAGAGTGTCGTGAACATAATGTTAGGTAGCAGTCTATTGGCTTAAAGAGAAGGTTCATTGATTTAAAATACTAACTTTAATGTCATTATTGCAAAGGTGACACTTTGATTGGCCAAGGTTATCAAAAGACAATGCTTGGAAACATTAGAAGTAATGATTATTAACAATTACAAAACACTTAGATACAGCCCCGACATAGCACCTGCAAAGCTCCCCCGTCGCTGCTAAGATATGACGTCACATGTTGAACATGATGTGCACAAGCAGACGATGTCCCATGACATCTCACACAATTTCAGTGCCCGTTTTGTCATCTTTTCTTCAGTTAAATTTCTCTTACTTCAATGAGCTCAGGCGAAATTTTTAATCTATTGCCTCACTCTAAACCCGATGCATGGTATTATTTTGATGAAAAATGCAAGGTTTAAATAAAAAAAAAAAAGGAATCCGTCGCTTGTAAACAAAATAAGACGCCATTGTATTTTCAGCTGCATACACCGCGGCATGTTCGGCGTTTCAAGAGGGAACAAACGACGTCCATGCTATCATTCCGGAGGTTTTTTAATTTGAAAGTGTGGTTTCTTTGATTGTTCATTAACCCCTATCCTGTGTATTTACAAACAAAAGAATTTAGTTATCAGAATTGGGGTCATATCCCTTTTTGAATGGTATAAAATTCCATCACATTTATATACACTAAACTCATTATAATTTGAGAAATAAAAGCACTGCAATTGTGTTCATTCTCAATGGGATGTCGTCTGCTTGGGCGGGGTTGGTTCATATTGTGCCCGGCCCCCCCACTCAGTGTTATTTAGGGTACGCATATGCGTGTTCCAACCGACCCCCCCTTTTCAGCAAAAGTCCGGTGTGTAAAGTCAATACGGCTCGACCTTTTTCTTTTGTATACGAGCCTTTTTCAGCATCCCCCCCTTTTCAGCAAAAGTCCGGTGTGTAAAGTCAATACGGCTCGACCTTTTTCTTTTGTTACGAAAAGGACATTTTGGCAACACGCATGCGGTCATTTTGAAACCTGAGTGGGGGGGCCGGGATATTGTGACGGCATTAAAACATCGTTATTTTCCCGGCGAATCTCTCGCATATCCCAGATGCTACGGAGGTTGTTTTATTTGTATTTTTATAAATCACTGATATGTAGTTGACCTAAAACTTGCATGATGGCCATCTGTTAGCTTACCAGTTTCTAGTAATATGCTATTTGCCATATTTGTGATTTTCTATGAACCCGCACTTTAATCGTGATGTTTTTATCATCTCCGATAGCCCATATTTGTAATGTAATCAAATTTAATGCATAAACTTGTATTGAGTGCCATGTTACAAATTATTTCTTTCACCTGTTATTTATAATTGTATTTCAGAATTCGAATTGCATACATTAATTGGTGCAAGGTAGGACAAATATTATGGCTTGTCCTACCTACCAACATGTAATGTAATCAATGCGCATTCTGACTAATGAAATACAATTATTCGTAAATTATTTGTAACGAGGCACTTAAAGATTTGTACATTTAATTTGATTACATTACGAAAATGGTCTATTATCCTGCTTAATACAAACACAAATTGCAAAGTTGTGAACTTTAAGTTGTTAACGGACTCCATATTTTACTTTTGCATTTAACACAACCTGGGTCTAAGTTTATGTTCAACGTTTAAAACTTAGACATTAGACCGACTTCCTTTGTTCACTCGAATTTAAAGGAAAGCCTTAACCAATGGTCGAGATTAGTTTTTAGTAGAATACGGGCCTTTGGTTTTACCTGCCTCATATATCAACACAATTGTAAAGAGACAGCATGAAATACTCATTTAGGCCTATAGGCCGCAGACTTAAACATTATATCAACTGATTTTGCTTTTCTTCTAGTAACAACTATGCGGTTTCCAACCACCATTACGCCAAGGACAGACAATGATAAATAATCTGGTATGGTGAAGTGTGGATGTAAGGTGGACGTAAAATAAAGTTATCCAATTTTTTTTAAAGGAAAATACGGCAAGGAAAGAAATCGAGTTAAACTTTTCAGTCCGGCGGACTGGATAAGCGAAAATACAATTCCTCTAGGCGATGTGCACTGTTTGTAATTTCATTTGTGATATAGCGCCACCTTTAGGCTTTCGCGTTTTCCTCAAATGGGAGACTCCGGGAGGTCTTCCTGACTGTGCACATTCAGTACGTAAATTTGTGCCAGCCGATAATGGTGACAGAAAACCATGCTACCAAACAGTTAATGGCCAATTATTTTCAATTTTGCTTTCTCCCTCCCCCTTCCCCCTTTTTAAATCTTGTATGGTATGATCTGGCATGCCTTTACTTGCTTGCTTGTTTGTCTGAGATTTGGGGAATATTATTATACAGTGAAAATACAGTATTGCGCTTACCTTGGTCTCTGTACGATGAGATGAAGGCCAAAAGATCAAAATGAAACGGATAGAAAGAAAGAGGGAGAGAGAGAGAGAAAGAGAGAGAGAGAAAGAGAGACAGGGAGAGACAGAGAGAGACAAATACAGATATACAGAGAGAGAGAGGGGGAGAGAGAGTACGAAAAAAGAAAGGGAGGTGAGGCAAGGGAGAGAGAAGTAAGTTAAAGATGAAAGATAGGTAGATAAAGGGAGATAGATAGATATTATGTAGAGAGAGATATATATATATATATATATATATATATAGAGAGAGAGAGAGAGAGAGAGAGAGAGAGAGAGAGGGAGAGAGGAAAGAGGAAAGAAAAATAATTAGTTTAACACATTGATGAAAAATCGAACAATCTTTTTTGTTCTTCAATGAGTTCTAGGTATATTATTACTGCACACGAACTGAATTACCATTTTTTAATCAACGTAGCGAAATGGCGTTTTACCCTAAAAAGGTGTCATAAATGTATTATCTTAAAAACAACACATTTGAAAGTTTAGTAATGTTTTTGTTACAATGATAAAGTGGGACAAAAAACGCATTAAAATAATTAACGACCAAAAAAAAAACTACACCAACAAAACATTAATATCAAGATTTTTTTCAAACCTTTCAAAATTGAATGAAAATCGGCCAATCGATGTTTTTAAAAAAAAGTATTTAATAATAAAAAAAATATATAAAAAACAGAGACGTTCCCCAACTCTCTCCCTGGTGCTGGTATTTTTAAAAACTTTTATTTATGTTATGTTTCTATTCTGCGTTATGTCGCTTATATGTTAATATTGCAGTGAAAGGACCACAAGTAAGAACAGTAATGTTCTATAAACATTGCTGAATTGGGCTTTCCACCGATTTTTGTCTATGAACATGTATCAATATTTCATTTTTGTATATTTTACTATGTATAATATTTTGTATCTGATTTCGGAAATAAAAACAACAACAACAACAAGCTGTCGAGACTAACAACTCACCTCGGGGCCGATGACACCCGGCCTGCCTCTCCCACTGCCTCGTCCTCCCTGGCTTATCTCCCACGATGGACCCGCTCCAGACACGCATCCCCAGGCCATGGAGATGGTGCACACCATGTACACAGACGTGAGAAGAAGAACTTTCAACATCGTTGACGGCTCGATATCTTAATTGGAAATCTGAAATAAAGAAGAAAATAGTGAGTAGGCTATATGTGTATATAGGCCTATACATATATATAAATGCATGTTAAGATACAATTTACTGCACCAAAATGGGAGATACAATACTTTGTTAACGATTGATTGTAAATCGCTGTTTTACAGGTCCATGATGCAATCAATAGCCCTCGATCAACGGAGTATTCGTAGGCCTAGCTACACACATAAAACAACACATACGTGTACAATTATTATTATTAAATTTTATTATTATTATAAAACGAAATACTAATATGTGAACATAACCTGATAATAAAGCAAACTATTGGTGATGGTATCAGGAGATCTATCTTTCCAATTATTAATTCAAATTTTACCTAATTACTGTAAGTCTAGCATAATTTATGTCAACGTGAAATATGGAAGAAAAAATGTGAAAACTATATGGTACGAAGCGTTGTAAAACTCATCTTGAAAATAAAACGAAATACCGTAGACCTCATATCCATCGTTGCAGCTGAAGTTAAAGCTAGGTTAGTATAATATGTACCATCATTGTGTGTTTCATAAAAGAGAACTGCACACGCAGGATAAGAACATTAATTATCCTTAATGTGTAAAATAATATGATTAGAACCGTACGGAGGCCAACAACCTGTATAGAGTATGAAAAAGAACTTACTTTAGTAGCTGTGGCTAACCAGCAAATTTTCGAGACCTTCCCAAGAGTATAGTGTGACAAGCCTAAAGTATATTGAAGTCCCCTCGAAAAATCAGTGAGAGATAATTTAACAAGCGACCTGCATTTACGTATAGGCCTATATAGTTGTGATTTACAGCGAACTGCTTCTGCATTATATAGCCACCGGTCGACTATTAAAGCGAAACCAACCACCAAGGAAGGTTTTTCCCGGAAATGTTTTGACCTTGGTGTCAGACAATTTTTAAAAGCCTCTCTAAAGTTTTAGGAGCCCAACAAATTTGATGAAAAACATTCACTTCAAGTTTATAATGAAGTGAAAGAGGATGTCATTGATGAAAGAATACAAAACTCAGATTTACTGCGTATAACACAGAACCCAAGTTTTGTATTTTTCCATCAGTATCCGTCTTTAAACGCATTCATTTTGTTTAAAGTGTCCTCTTTCACATCATAATACACCAGTGAAATTGTTACCATTAATTTTGTTAGCGAATTTGGGGCTCTCAACACTTTAGAGGGGCTTCAAGTGGGGAAGGGGAAGAGTGAGGACCTCAGCTAGATATGGCATGGCAACATTGATCACAAAAGTGAAGTGAGGGGACTCTGTCGATCAGTATAAGCTCCTCTCGTCGTGTTATGTATTGCCCTCCCCCTCCCCCTCCTCTCTCTTTCTCTCTCTCTCTCTCTCTCTCTCTCTCTTTCTCTCTCTATCTCTCTATCTCTCTCTCTCTCTCCTTCTCTCTCCCCCACTCTCCTTCTCTCTCTCTCTCTCTCTCTCTCCCCCTACTCTCCCTATGCTTTTATGTATTTCCCTTGTTATTCCCGCCTCACTCCCCATCGCATCCCCATATGATGTTTATGTGCAGCTGTAACAAAAACATCATAAAACGGTAAAATATGGCTCAATTAAACGTCCCCTGGAATCGAGACATGTTATTCGACTTCGACTTTATATACGTCACTTTATGTCAATTTTTAGCAATTTACAATTTTGGTGTTGCTGTGGACTTTTTTCTCGGCTAAGGCTACAATGGCTTTGGTCAAAACTACTATAAGCCTATATTTGTTTTTTTTTGGTGGCAAAATGGAGTCATATCTTAAATTTAAATTCAAATAAAACGAATAGGTATGACAGTACAAATAAAAATATTCGAATAAATTTATATTTTTTTCAAGCAATGAGCTACGAAATAGCAAACGGTGGCTGAGGGGGCGGCGGGGGAAGCATCTGCTATTATTCAGTCAGGAAGTTTTCGGGAACTTTCCCCAATCAAATAGGGTGCTCTTTAGGTTTATCCTTTTCTCTGAACTGCAACCGAATAAAATCCCGTATCAGCTAGATTGACAAGGGTTGAGTTCTGATGTCATGGCTAATAAAAACGGGTTAGTTAATTGACGTGGACCAGGAAACAGGAAATATTACTACGAGGTACAAACTTCGGTGGTAAAATTAAAGGTGTACTTCAGCTTCTATTTTTTCCTTTTTTAATGAACAGTGTAAATTGTTTATTTTTGCATTATCTGTCCTTAATTGCTTGGAAAAATTGTACCTGGGGAACAATTCCATAAGGAGAGACAAATTCCATTAAAAGGGATATTACCAAGGTCCTTGACGTTATGATCGGCGTCGTAATCATATCAATAGGGAATTTTAGTTTCGCACGAAGACAATGGGGATTGCTACGATCGACGTCCTTTTAATGCACTGCCTTGAATGGACGTCACACGTATATATCAGTCCACGCAAATCTAAAAGTCCCTATTATTGATGTTTTTATGATTTTTGTTTAATTTCTCGAATTGATTACCATTAAAACTAAAAAGTCACCACCTTATGCCCCCAAATAAAAGACAATATACTGAGAGAGAGAGAGAGAGGACAGAGAGATAGAGAGAAAGAAAAGATAGAATTGGGAAATAGGGGGGAAGTTTATCCACCTAAAGAGAACGCCTCCACACACACACACACACACATATACGATTTTTTGTTTTTAATATTATTTATTGAGCTTCTATTCAACAAATTCATAGAAAACAAAATGACTTTTTATAGACAATACAAAAAAATGCTCATACGTTTCGAATAATATGACAAATAATGACAGAATGGAATCAATGTAACATAAAATACCTAAAACCCCCTCTCCCATTAACCCCCCCCCCCAAAAAAAAAGCCCCTCATCTCCCCCCCCCCCCCCCCCCGAAAAAAAATTAAAAAATAAAAAAAATAAAAAAAATAAAACGAATAGGTAACACAGGACAAAAAAAGATATTCGCAATACATAAACATTTTGTTCAAGCAATGAGCTACGAAATAGCAAACGGGGGCTGAGGGGGGGGGGGGTAGCATCTGCTATTATTCAGTCAGGAAGTTTTCGGGAACTTTCCCCGATCAAATAGGGTGCTCTTTGGGCTTATCCTTTCTCTGAACTGCAACCGAATAAAATCCTGTATCAGCTAGATTGACAAGGGTTGAGTTCTGATGTCATGGCTAATAAAAACGGGTTAGTTAATTGACGTGGACCAGGAAACAGGAAATATAACTACGAGGTACAAACTTCGGTGGTAAAATTAAAGGTGCACTTCAGCTTCTATATTTTCCCTTTTTTAATGAAGAGTATAAATTGTTTATTTTTGCATTATCTGTCCTTAATTGCTTGGAAAAATTGTACCTGGGGAACGATTCCATTAGGAGAGACAAATTCCATTAAAAGGGATATTACCAAGGTCCTTGACGTTATGATCGGCGTCGTAATCATATCATCATCGTCGTTTTAATGATTTTTGTTTAATTTCTCGAATTGATTACCATTAAAACAAAAAAACCACCACCTTATGCCCCTAAATTAAAGACAATATACTGAGAATACATCTTTTCACTCGGTAGCTACGCTCCCTCGCATAATATCCTTCAAAATGTACAAGTAAATACCGAGAAAAGTGAAGTGTGAAAAAAGTATATTGCTAGTTTTGCCTAAGGCGGTCCCTAGATGCTCATTTGATCGTAATGTAATGCCTAAAGCCCCTGGGCTTATGGGGGCTCCGCCCCCTGGACCCCACTCCAATTAGTGACCTGCATGTCAGTGCATGTCACAAATAAAGTATCAAAATGTGCTCATTTGACTATAATTAAATGCCTAAAACCCCTAAAATTCCGGGGGCACCGCCCCATGGATGCTCATCGGACCTTAAATCAATGCCTAAAACCCCTGAGTTTCATGGGGCTCCGACCCTTGACCCCCCCCCCCCCCCCCGTCGGGGCTTTGCCACTGGACCCCACGCCAATTTACGCTCCACTTGCTTCTCTCGCTTTGCTCTACCTGATTCAAGATTCAAGATTCAAATAAGGTTTTATTCACAACTTGTCAAAAAGTCCAACGACTAAAAATGCAAGTTTACATCAAACATACAATCATATAAAAAAAAAACAATTTAAAATATATATAATTATATATTTAAAGAAAACATAGCAAATGGGAGAAGAAAATATATATATATATATATATATAAAATTGAATAAATGTTTACATCAAAACATCAAAGCGGTATAAAAAAAAAATTAAAAATTACACGATATCAAATATTGCTAGCGAAATTGTGTAAATGTTCAAATCAGAGCAAATAAAATAAAGTTTGTACAGATACGGGAATTCAATTAATTGTAACGTAGGAAAAATTGCGATAAAGTGCAATACAAATTTCATTTAGATGGTGTAATAAATATTAAAAAATATTAACAAGTATTAACAATGGAGTATTGGCAGTGTGGTAATTAAAAGTGTGACATGAGTAATGTACATGTATAGCATATTGCACATGACAAAATTTTGGAAATCCTTAGATATTATTAATGGTGACAGTAACAATGGCAGATAATTAAAGAATGTTGTACTGCGAAACATCATCAGAAGAGGAAGAGGTGGAGAGGAGGAGGGAGAGACCGAAAGTGAGAGAAAGAAACAGAGAGGAGGAAGGAGAGAAGACGGGAGAAAGAGAAAGAGGCAGCGAGAGCAGAGCAGAGAGAGAGAGAGAGACAGATGAGAGAGAGGGTTTGGGAGCGAAATAGAAATAGAGAGGAAAGACGAGAACTGAAGAAGAGAAAAGGACATTTGAAAAGTAACAAGTTCAAATAGAGCAAAGGGAAGAGAGAGTGAGAGGAAGGATAAAAGTACATGCTATATCAAAATACGAATGAATGTGAGAACCTGCTGTGCCAATCATCATGACAGTTGATATTGCACATGATTATGTTGCTGACATACATGATATATAACATACTGATAATAACTTAAGCCTCTATTTATTATTATTCAGATTGGATGGGAGAATTTCGGTACCTCGAAGTTCTCATCTTAGGCAAGGACAAATCAAGTGCATTTCGCAGGGTACGGCTACAGTCATTGACTCTGCTTTCAGGCAGGAGATTTCGATGAACCTTAGAATGGAGGAGTGATTTTGCAAATCTTAAAGAAAGGGATGTGCGTCTCTCTTTAAGAGAGGAGACGCTAATATGAAATTGCAGTTCATCATAGGTTCTAGAGTCAGGGTAGGTAATGATCCTAAGAGCTCTCCTCTGAACTCGCTCGATGCTAACAGAGTGGTTGTTTGTGATCCCTGATGTCCAAACAGGTGCTGCAAATTCTAGCACTGGCCTGATGTACAACATGTAGATAGTAGCAAGATCCTTGGTGGTAACACCATTCCTCCGAAGCTTTGTCAGGAGATAAAGTCTTCTGGAAGCGTTAGAGATCAAACGGCTGACCTGCCCATCCCATTTGAGATCATCCTAAAGGAAGACCCCTAGGAGCTTAAGGGATGAGACAGTTTCGGGACAACGTCGTTGTCTTTGCACCATTGGGCCAAGGAGTCTAGATGCGACTGCAACTCAGATTGATGCGATTTCTTCAAGACCTCCACGATTGTCAAGTCATCCATATTTCCATCGGTTATCACTTTCAACAGCTGCATAGTTGATAAGGACCAGAAACAGGACTGGTCCGAGGCGAGTACCTTGGGGTACCCCACAAGTGATGGCTTGTTCTTGAGATAAATTCCCATATGGTAGCGGACAGTCTGCGCTCTGTTAGAAAAGGAAGCTGCAGATAGTAGGGATGATAGAGTGATCAACACCTAACTCAATCAACTTGTTCATAACAATGGTGTGGTTGACATGGTCAAAAGCCTTAGAAAAATCCACGACGCAAAGGTTAGCGAGAGTACCACCCTTGTCAAGCTCTCTGTGGATGGTGTCAAGCAGGCTGACCAAATACTTTAGCCCCACCTCCCCATTTTGAAAAACGTTGCCAGGGTCTGCGTAACATCTAAGAGTGATGGTGATGCAGATTCCCCCCCCCCCCCCAACGTTTTGCTCATTACGGCACTGCTCCCTCGTCCCTCGCATTTCGTCCCCCCCCCCCCCCGGTCATGAAAAGAAATCGCCGCCCCTGGAATATACAATGAGGGTATACGCGCACTCTCTTACACACACACACGGACCCGCGCACACACACACACACACACACCCACATAATCACACTCATAGACCCAACACATAACCCACACGCATTCCCACACAACAATGTCCGGACCCACTTTATCTACGACGTTGGGAGAAAAGAGTTTTTTTTTTCTCCGATATAAATATTTAGCTATTGGTTTGCTTGTCTTGCCTCTGTATTTCTTATGTTAGCTCTGTATAGATTATTAAGATAATAACTTACTGATATATAAGTAAGTCTACTAAATAATCAATAAGGTGATTTTAATTTAATCATTACTTGATTCTCCAGTTTTATTACTATGTACAAACATGGAATATATACAGATAATTTCAAAATAATTCAATACTAAGATAAAAATGAAAAAACAGAGAAATAATACAGAGACAATATATCGTGAAAACCTATTTAGGCTTGGCGAGTTGATGCATTTACAAAATAGGCACTCATAGCATAAAAATGGCGTGAACGACACAAATATTATCTATCTAAAGGGTTAGAGATATCGTGAAAATGTGTTACTGTTGGGGAAGGCAACTCGATCTCTAAAGCTACTAATAATTAGCAGGCAACACATATCTTTTGAGTTTCCTTTCGAAGGAAATACTATACAACGATAAGGTATTCTTTCCACATTTAAAACATGGCGGATTGATCGGTTTTGAAGATATAACATGAAGTAAAGAAAACGAAAATCATTTGTTTTCTTCTAAATTTACTAATTCAAATTGTTTTTCCCATGCAGTTCTAATTTGTATCAACAGCTGCGAATACTTCAAAAAAATGTTCAGGTCCGATACATTGCCTTAATTTTGACTATTATTCTGACACACGTTTACATATATTATGTGCGATTCATCAGCCGTGCGTTCTGACAAATATCAAAGGCTCAATGGTCGAGCAGTGGTCTCGCAGTAGAGAGGTTCGATACCAAGTCTATGCTCTGGTGCATTTTGGTAGGTAATTAATAATTACGAAATACATAGGATAGGCCAAACTGCAGGTACATTAGTTGAGTTTATAAGATGATGACATGGATCCTAATGTAATGATTGGTTAAAAGTGTACACGTGACCAGGCATTTATTTTGCCTAACGCGTAATTTGGATAAAGACCGGTCATTATCTAATGGTAATGACCGATCATTAGTAAAATCATGTTATAAAACATCATTTTATAAAACAAATTAAACTTAATCTTACAAAACAAATAGTACACATCATTTTCAGTTGTTCGGGCATTAGTAAAATTACCCACACTCGATACCTTCAAAACAATCCAAACACCCTCGCCTATATCGCCTCGGGCGTGTTAGACTGTTCCAAAGGTACCTTGTGTGGGTAATTGTTACTAATGCCCTCACTGCTGTGTATTCTCTGTATACTAACCAGCATCACAATCAGTAATGTTTATCACCATTGAAAAAAATCTTTCAATTTGGAGCGTAACCTGAGCATTCTTACAAAGCGGAATAATTCAAATAATTTAGATGGAATGATAAGTTCAAAAGTCTACCGCCGTTAAAATAAATATTAAGAGGGAGTTATACTTTTTGATTGACCGCGTTCTGCTCGTATGTGTGTTCGCACTGCATTTAACAGTCAGTTAGAAACGTCTTTGTACAATTTGCGTGTTTGGGCTTATCTTCTTCAATTTCTTACAATTTAAAACATAGGCGCTCATGAAGTCCTTCATGGTGATTATAATGCCGATGGTGTTGTTCATGGAATCTGGAATTTATTTTCTTGGTTCGATTCTGCGGCCTGGAGGGCCACGCGGTCTTCTTGGATCGTGCGGGCGAGGCAAGTTCTCCCGTAGATGAGGCAAAGGCTCTGGTAGGCGAGGCAAGGGCTCTGGTAGGCGAGGCAAACGCTCTGGTAGGTCCAAGTTCTCAATGGTTCTTTTCGTTGGTGCAGTCGGTACACTAAAAGGTTGTAGCTCAGCAAGAGAGATAAGTTTATCGCCTGTATGATTCGAACGAAAAGAGAAAAAAGTGACAGTCAGTTATGGAAATTGCAAATTTTTTTCCTCAAGACCGACTCTCTCTAAATGAAGTTGTTCGCTCGAATGCCATTTCCATTGCAAAATGGCAATGATTAGAAACATATATAGACTTTCCTTCCATAAATGATGCGATGGTGGTAACATTTTTATAGTATTCATTACATTAAAAAAATTGTAACACATTTTTAAAGCTTTGTATAATTTTCAGCAAATCCTAGACTCTTCATGTTAAGTCAGCTATTAAATTACAAAAAAAAAGATTTAAACGATTTCTTCACCAGACTGATATTGTCTTCATCTTCATCAACATAATCGTCCTCGTCGTCACATTATTCATCATCATCATCAGCAGCATCATCATCCCTATCATTTCATCACGATATTTTTTATTCAAAATGTCAAAATTAAAAAAAAAACATTCCCAAAATATTGGTCACAAAAATTACGTTTAAACAAAGTTTCAATTCTCAATAAAACAATGTACATTGAGACAACTTTAGATAATATAAACGTTGAATGTACTAAAGCGAAAAATTACCATAATTTAATGCTAGAAAAGAAAAAAGAGAAAATTGGTTTCCATTTTTGGCAAAATATTTTAGGCCTACCAGAAATATTTGTTTGGAAAGATGTATTTCAGTTCAAAATTAATAAGATAAGAGACAATAATATCAAACAATATAATTTCAAATTAATTCATAAGATATTGCCCTCTAAAGACAATCTCTTTACGTGGAAAATCGTACAGTCGAACGAATGTGAAATTTGTCCTGAAAAAGAAACTATTGAGCATTTTATATTTCTTTGCAAGAAATTAAGAGTTTTCTAGGAAAAATTATTTCAAGAATTATATATTTCATCTTTGAAATAGAAATAGAAATCGATATGACAATGTTATTGATTGGATATAAAATAAATAACAGAAAATTTACTTTATTTAATTTTTTGATAAATTATGCTCAACTGGTATTAGGCATATACAGTGATTACGTTAAGTGGAACTTTGGGGAAGTACCAACCAATCGAAAGAGCTTAATAAATAATTTGATGTCATCATTGAAAGTTTATTTGAAATACACACAAAATATATGATACTTCGATAATGAAGAAGTTAAGAAAGTATTAGAAATGTTATAATGATTATTTTAAGAAATTATGTCGATCTTGTATATAATTCATATGTTTCATTTTACTTGTTTTGTAAATAGTCTATATGTATTTTGAAATGGAATAAGAAAGTCCCTCTGAAGAGGTAAAGAGAAGAAAAAAATCATCACTATATTCTAATCATCGACATCATGGTCCTCATTGTCGCCATCATCATCATCATCATTAACAACAAAACAAATAATGATAATAACAATAACCATTAAAACAGAATCATGGGCATCTATATGTTGTCATGTTCATTATCATTCACCATCATCGACAACATCGTCCGCAATGTCATCATATCATCATAATCATTCTTAATCTACAATATCAATGATATTATAATTATTTACACATTGTGGTCATCGTCATGATCATCGATCACCACCATCCTTCTCCTCCTCATCATCATCATCATCATCATGACCACGTCTTACCATTAACATCAAGGCGAATGAGCATGTAATTGAATTCTGTCACGGCGCCGCCTCCCAATTTCCATTCTTCTATGCAAACCAGACCATTACCATCAAGATCAATGCTTGCGAAAGCTGATTCCTTGCTGACCAGTCCAGCGAAGTATCTCGCAACCTCGACAGGTATACTATACAGTTCAAATGGGAAGAGAGTAAAGGGATAGAAATTGTATCAACACGTTTTATACAATTTGGCGATACAAATCCAATAATACCTTTGCCCTGCATAGTATTGAAGAATGTAATTAAGTTTTGAACGATGTTTTGCAGTAAAAAGCCTCAAACTGCCTGAAACCTGATATATAAGAAAGACCTAAGGGAACCTCATTCGAGACTTTAGTAACCACAATGTTTACAAGAATGTATCTGCATGTGATTCAAGGTAATTACAAACAATCTCGGCAACATCATACAGTGTAAGGTTTGGGTTTCTCCTTCCACCGACACGGCGGATTCAGCAAAAGTAGCTAATATTGAAACATGAGACGGCATGACAAAACAAGAAAGGCATTTAATAGAGTATTTGGAAGACTACACAAAGAAAACATCAATAGTGATATTTCCTTTGGCCTTGGAATTTATAGTGCCCCGTTGTTAAGGTCGAGTGGTACAATTACAATATGTTAAACGTAACGCTTGTTAACACACAATAAACACTACCTGTATAACTTGTGATCATAGAAAGTGTCTCAAATAATATAAAGAATTCGTGTCGCAGAACTTTGTCTACTGGCAGGGATTTTACATTGAATATAATATTAATATTTACAAGTTAGTGACATGATAATAATAGTTTATAAATTAGAATAAGTCAATGTGGCGAAAATGAGTAATATATTTTATTTTATTAATGCTATCGGCCGGGTAAGCTTTTATTATCGTGTAAACTCGATGGCTTCTCTTGTTTGCAATTACACAGTACATTGTTTTTTGTATGTTTGAATGCACATTCAAATATTATCATAATTAATACTAGAAGTAAATATGATTGTTCTTACCTTGGGCGGCTTGGTCTCTGTGAGGCGAGCAGAAAGGGCAGTTGGAGGGGAGGAAGAGGATGAGAAAAAAAGAGGACAGAAAAGGAGGGGTGTGCGTGTGTGCGTGTGTGTGTGATAAAGAGAGAAAGGGACAGAGGGAGAGAAAGGAAGAATGAGAGCAGGAGAGAGAGGGAGAGAGAGGTGGGGAGAGGGAGAAAGAAAGAAAAAGAAGGTTATTGGATCAATACAAGTGAGAATTATAACGTAAACGAAAATACTGAATAACATTTCTAATGAAACTTTAGTTTTAACGAACCTGAGGCATATTATAGTTATAAAAGATATGAATAAAAAAACAAGCAGCAAGCATCTAATAGCTTTCCAAATCATTACACTATAATGATAATGCAGCTGTAATAATTAAAAGGAGGCGGGGGTAAAAGCCCTTCGAGTGACAGATTTCAGAGTAAGTAACTAAACAAGATGTGCTGAGTGGAGGAGAAAGGGGCGTTAAAAAACACTAAAATTATATGTACTGATCAAATTACTCCATTTCACACATGTGACTCTTCTTTGCTGGACCTGACAAGGAGAAGATTTTTGTGTGTGTATGGGCGGTGTGCTTTGACGGTGGTGCACCCCTTGTTTATCCTCATAGTACCACCACTAGGATGCAAGCCGAATATAAACTCACCACGGGGCGTTCTGGTTCTTCTGGCCCGACAACACCAGGTCTAGGTCTAGGTCCAGGTCTACCAGCCGGTCCAGGTCTACCCGGCTGGCTTATCTCCCACGATGGGCCCGCACCACTCACGCATCCCCAGGCCATGGAGATGGTGCACATCATGTATGCAAACGTGAGAAGAAATTCTTTCATCATACTTGTTTGTTTTGCGGAAACCTGAAATGAAACGAGTATATATGATGAATAAATTATGTTCACGTTCAAGTTCAAGTTCAAGTTCAAGTTCAAGTTCAAGTTCAATTATTTCATAATTGATTATACATAAAATAAAGGGTACCATAAAAGACAAAAAAATATCTTGCCAAGACATTAGACGTTGATTTGTTACTTGCTCTTCGCGTGTAAGCGGGCATGGAATGTATTTACATTACCAACAAATTATACCTTAGATGCAAATTTTGCAAATGTGAATTTATTTAGTAAATATTAGAGTTTATTGGCTATATAATTTGTTTTCATTCAATCAGAAAATAAACAATATTTAGGTATCTGCGACGGCTAATGAACGAAATTAACATGATTATACACTTGCACAAAAACAGAGAAAAAGAAGAATTTGTGTTAATGTCATTTGCTAGATCGTGACCTCTATAGTAAAACTTACTGTATTGAAGTGACCCTCATATTGTTAGTTTGTAATTGTGTGCTTATATTAAGAAAGAACAACAGTAAAACATCAGGAATTCTATATAATTAGCATTCAGAGCTATACGATATCTGACGAATAAAATACCTTGACTGTGAGAGCCGAATTCTGGAACCCTTTTAGAGTGTACTGCTAAGTCTGAAGTCCCCTCGACGATCAGCGAAAGTCAACAAGCAACTATAGCTGTCTCTGTATGATTCGATCAACTACCGTTTCTTAATGAAATGTTTTGTGCCAAGCCAAGCTGTTATATATACGACTCGATTGTTTTGTCCAGTCCCAACCTGTATGATCGTGATGATTGTTACCCGGATATACGTCGTGTAACCTTGGCTTCAAATTTTCTAGTGTTTGGGTCAAGAAAATTAAGGGGAGGGGGCGGGGCGGAAGTGAAGTGGGTTGAAACTTATAGAAAGCGCTGTCGTCATCATTTCGTCATAGATCGACAAAAGAGAAGCCTCTATTAATAGTAATTTCTTATATATGATCCTTCTCTCTTTCTCCATGGTTATATCTACTTCACTCTCTACCACCCTCTCTTTTCCCCCTCACATTCAGATTATGATTCAGATGAAGTTAGTGCACAACTAGCTCAAATATGATTCTTACATTGGAAGTCCACTATATTAAGTGGGTTTGATTATAGAAGCAGAAATATAGGAGGAACAGGGCAATTAATCGAGCAAATTCCGATTGAAACATAAGAAAGTTATGAATTGTTGAAGTTGCTCTCAATTTGCATCGCTGTAACGTATCTTGCGAGCTCCTCTCCAATTTACTCTGTACATAACATTTCATAAACCTTTATTTTCTTCTTTCTTTATGATGACGAAATTCCATACAGGGGTTGTATAGAATTTAGAAACATATTTGTAATAATAACATTTAGGGAGCATGTATGATTGACCATTTTCTTGAGGTAAATTTGTTTATTATAAGTCTTCTTTCTGTTTAACTAAAGAGTAGAGGGAGGGAACCTCGCAAGATGCGGCACGGGGTTGCCGATTTGTGTTTGATTGATCACAACTTCAAAAATGTATAACTTTTCTAAAATGTCAATCTGAATTTGCTCAATATTCCACTGACTAGCTGTTGCTCTCATTTTCTACTTTTATCAAAACCAACTTAATTTCAGGGTAGACTTCCCCTTTCACGACATTTAATGTATTTAAGTAGAAAGTACGCGTGTATCACTCAATTTCAGTTTTGAGTTCTGGTAATGCGATTGCATTGTAAAAGAAAAGGTGTGGAATGGATCAGAAAAGTTGATCATATAGCATGTAAGTAATGGTGTGTAATGCAAGGTTCTGGAGTCATCAAAATCATCATAAATTTGGCAGAGTCTTGGTAAAGTAACAATCACTTACACAGAAAGATGTATATGGGACAACACACATGGTGTCGGGGCTAGTACTACCCTGATTTCCTTATCTTTCTATGCTCATTACTCAGCCAGTATACATTTTCCTCCAAAATTGTTTGGCACATGACATTTATTTGTAATCTTGAACATTCAGTGTAAGTTTCGTTAGATTCTGTGAGAATTCATTTTCTTTTTTTTACCAGAACTCAAGTTTATCTTTAAGCTTCATGTTTGTTTGCTGTTATGTTGTATCTTCGTCAAGTCAAACTAAATTCCATATTACCATGCAAACATTGTTTCCGTAAGCTTACTACATTATACTTACTAAAAAGGGAGGGAATGCTACGGGGTTTATCATGGACCTGCTACCATGGTTCTATCCTATACATGCAGACCGAACTGGATATGCAAATATTGAGAACTTAAAAATATAATGCATCAATTTGTATTGAACCTTGGCTGGAAGTAACCTAGGCCCATTTTTTTTAACACACACCCGTTATCTAGTTTATACTTTGTTTGACCCCGGAAACCAACTTTACAATTAGAATCTGCTAGAACAATTAGTTTCGAGAGTTTCAATAAGTTGATCCGGAGGTTTCTGCCCAAATATGGAGTTAGTGGGAGGTTACTCGGAAATACAGCTGGCAAAACGCCAGGAGGAGGATTGTGATGTCATCCCTAATCAGGGGTATTCCGTCACGCAGCTGGAAAATAAAAGTGTTTTGTGGGTCGACGAAATAGGCTTGAATGTCCTGATTTGGGGGGTATTTTTCAGAAGGTGATATTTCAGTGTTTGTTGGAGGTAGATCTATAATTGTGATTAAATTAGTACTACTTGGAAAAGTGGAATTGAAAATTAAAAACAAAACTTTTTCTTCTTCGTTTGTTGAATTCCTCCAGTCCTGGATAATTTCGGTATTCTTGGGAATCGCATATATGGGGGGGGGGGTCAAAATGTAAGTACATGTGGGGATCGATGGCTTTTAAAACTTGCATTTGTTTTCATTGGTTATTTTAATGTTTCTTGTACACCCTGAATGGATATTCTGTCTTATCACATGAACAACACCGTATAGTGGCATAGGGCTGGACCAGCCATTGAAGGGGCAGGGGCACATATCTAGAGTCCATGGCGTACTGAGAGAGACAGTTGTGACACGCGGACACGTAAGTGATCAAAAGTCAAATCATGGAGTTCCAAATAGCTCCCTCTCATAGAGATTGGGGGAACTCATCTCTCTCACTACGCTATAAGTGAAGCCATATATAATGATAATAATAATAATAATAATACATTACATTTATAATGCGCTTAATACAATATATGTACGTACTTGTCCTACACAAGGAGAATGGAATGCTAATTAACAAGTTATACCGATCTGGGAGAGGGTCCTATTTCATCTTTTCACTTTCCTTTCCATATCCTCCCTGCTCCCCCTTCTTAAATTTCGTCTGTCTCTCTCTCTCTATATATATATATATTTGTTTTTGTTTTTTTGTAATAATTTGTTTATTTAAAGATTATTTTTACTTGCAATAACTGGTTTAATACTTTAACTGTTATAGGTTGTTCATCCATCTATTATCATTTATTTATAACTTTAGGTATAACTGTATAACTATATAACTTTATCTTTTATCATTTTTATTGTACATTATTTTGTATGATCATTCCTGTTTTTATGCACATTTTATGTAAACATTGCATTATTGGTCCCTGGACTACTGCATTGTATATTTTATATGTTGATATTAATAAACCGAAATTGAATTGAATTGAATTGAATTCTTTCTTTGTTTTCTTCTATATATAAGGGTGGAAGGTTAGGGTATGTGTGTTATCGGTGCCTCTCATACATATCATTATACATTGCCCTATTAAATACAACACTTTGTATAAAGGGAAAGTGTAAAGAAGAACGAAAAACAAGATCGCAAAAAAACTTTCGAAGATTAAACCTGATGCAATCACAATAGCCTTTTTCATCACCTATTAAAATGAGCGTACATGAAAATGACAGCTTACGTAATCCGAACTTGATTTCTATGTGATGTACAGTTGCTGGGGCTGGGGGGGGGGGGGGTGAAAGAACATTGTAACCAACAATTTTCAACAAAAAAGAAAAAACTGAACAAAACAATCAATGAAAAACTTCTGTATAAATACTGATTCAATCAACTAAGCAAAGCTTTTGTATGGTGTTGATATTTTTTCCGGATGTTAGTGATGTGACTTGGTTTCGAATTAATTAAGGGGAGGGGGTGGGGCGGAAGGAAGTGGATTGGAGTTTGTCGTCATCAATTCGCATAGATCGACAGAACATATGGAAACGTTGTATCATCCGCTCAATCTGACTTGAGTGCTTAGAACAGATAAACATTTTCGGATGAAAAAGTGAACTTTTCTAAAAAGTGCGTTGCTTTCCAGCATTGGGATGCCCGGGAGTCATTTGAGTAACCTCTCAAAAAGTAAAATATAACAAAATAATATGCACTTTCTCTGTACTTTCGGGGAAAAAATTGTTATCCAGCACAATGCAGTCTCTTTTTGCGCTGGAGAAGAGCAAAATAGCGATGTTTTTGTTAACACTTCTATTAAAGCCTATGTTTATTTTTCAGAGGCGAAATGGAGTCATTGCCTGGAAATCAAATTTGAATTGAAAGAAAACGAATAGGCCTAGGTATTACAAAACAAAAATACCATTCGAATAAATATACAGTTTGTTCAAGCAACGAGCTACTAAATAGCACATTGGGGGCAGGGGACAGGGGGCAGGGGGCAGGGGGATTGGGATCTACTTCAATTATTCAGTCAGGGAGTTTTTAGGAGATATCCCCGATCAAATTAGGGTGCTCTATGGGATTATCCTCTCCTCTGAGCTGTAACAAAACAAAATCCCGTATCAGCCAGATTGACAAGGGTTGAGATATGACGTCATGGCTAATCAAAGGAAAATAAAAGGGGTTTGTAAATTGACGCGGACCAGCAAACAGGAAATATTACTTCCAGGTATACAAACTTTTGTGGTAATTAAAATTAAAGGTGCTATATACAGCTCCTCTTTTTTTAATGAAGAGTGCTTATTGTTTATTTTTGCATTATCTGTCCGTAAGTGCTTGACAAATTATAATTGAAAGATTTTAGCAAAATTTATTATTGAAGTTTGAAGGAGGTATTTTGCTGCCGTTGTCAGGGCTGGCTGGCAAATACCAGGGCGGGAAATACCGGGCGATAAATACAACCTATTATAGCACAATTTGAAGAAAAAGGGGAAATACTGGAAAATTCTCCAAACAAATTTTTAAAACCCTTTGGATCTTTGAAATTTTTTTACCAAGAATTATTATCAAACACAAACAAATAATGTAAAAAGCAATTTAATACTATTTAGATAGGTCATAACGATGCATAAATGATGGAATCCCTCTTATCTGCCAATTATATAGAGGTCCCTCCATGCCTTATACTGTGTATCTTCATCAAAGATGGGCAATTCGATTTTTTTGTTCAGCTTTTAAATATTCCTGAAGCATACTGTAATTGTAATGGTGCCGTTATAAAAGCGGCCTGTCCATTCACATATTTGTACCCTTCCAAAATGTATATTTGATTGTATTTTGATTCAGACCATTCTCAATTGGCAACTTTTTCTGTATGATATGTTTTTCACTAATGTACGTGTTTGTATTACCAGGAGATTGCCAGCGTATAACCAACAAGAGAAGGTGGTGCAACATAACTTGAATCTGTGTCTAAAATATGGATAGAATATCCAAACAAGCAATCTAAGAAACCCATGAACAAGTTATTACAAATAACAACTAAGATTTTTGTTTAAAGTGTAATTGATGAAATTAAGTAAGATTGCTATGTTTGCTATT